AGAGACCCTTGAGTGACAGGCTGCTCTAAGCAATCTGATTGGTTAGCATTAGCTGAGCAAAAAAATATATTGAAAGAGCTGGATGTTGAGAAGAGTCAGTCAGATTCCTGCCTTAACTGAGAAGAAGAGACATGTACTGAGACCATCTGAGCCCTGACAAAAAACGGATTTAGTGCTGACAGAGTCAGATTTCTACCTTGACTGAATGCAGTCTGAATTCAGCATTAGCCAAGAGCAATTTAAACACAGACAGAGAACTGGGGAAGAGTTTGGCAAGGAAGTTTGGGCAGTAGAGAAGATTCCCATCCAGGCCAAAAGAAAAGGGGATAGATCTTCTACAGAGAGAGAAGATTCCCTACCCGGTCAAACAGGGACACTTATCTCTGATGAATAGAGATCCCTGGTCTGGTGAGATTAAAAACTGCCTGTAGAGACCTTAAAAGTCAGTGAACAATTTAGGAGGAGTACTGGTGTTCCAAGAGAAGGGGTTTGGGTACTGGGAAGAGGGTACCAGCCGTCTGCGCACCAAAAAAGAGTCAGCAGGTATGCAACTAAAGTGTATCACAGTGTTTGGGAAAACACTGGAACAAAAGCTTCTCAATATAAAGATCTAAATAACTGTGAATAATTTTTAAGAACCTCTCATTAGCTTGATATATAAGAACAAAAATCTGAGCTTGTACTAACTTTAGCACTTTTACTGAGGCATCTTGACTCTATTAGCTCTTTCTAGCAACTAGCCCCCCTACACCTATATGTTATATTTGAGGAAATCTATTTCAATGAATCTAAGGAGTTCTTGCTTGTACCCAGTATTGACCTTTGTTTGTCTTGAAGGTGCAAGTGGACTCAAATGCCATTCTCACCTCTACATGTTAACGTTTGTATTTGTATGCTAATCTTGCCCGAATCCAATCTCAGTTATAATTACCCAGTTCTTATGTATCTTGTCTCTAACTGGTCCTTCCTGAAAAACAACCCTCCAACCCCTATATGTACTGGCTGAAGCGATTCTGTTCTCTGTATCTGAAGAAGTGTGCTTGCACACGAAAGCTTATACCTTGAATTAATCTTTGCTGGTCGTAAAGGTGCCACTGGACTCAAACTTTGTTCTAATTTTACCTCACCCCTGATTTTACTAGGCCTTTTTTATTTTTGAATTTTGAATAACGTTTTGTTATTTTTTAATTTTAAAGCTTCCCAAGTGCCATTTTCAATGGTTTAAGTTAAAGAGTGATCCTATCCCTTCCCTCAGGTTCCTGGGCTGAACAAATAAGCCAAAATATATCTTACTGACAGGGTGGGACAGCTACTGTTTCTTCAAAGGAGAAGAGAACACATTACCTGGGCTGGTCAGGAAGAAGAGGAGGCTGGGCTGGTCCGGAGGAGGAGGAGGAGGAGGAGGAGGAGGAGGAGGAGATTGGATTTATACCCTGCCCTTCACTCAAAGTCTCAGAGAGGTTTACAATCCCTTTCCCTTCCCCTCCCCACAACAGACACCCTGTGATATAGGTGTCTGTTGTGGGAAGGGGAAGGGCCAGAAAAAAGGAGGGAAAATCTCGCCACTGAGGGAGGGAAGTGGGAAGGGTCCATCACAGCTGGAAATTCAGCACCAGACTAAAAACAAAAATAATTAGAATTAAGATCTAATATCTTAAACTCAGCTGAGGCAGAACATGCTTGATTCATTCATGCTTGATTTGGAAATTTAATTATAGGACAATGAGATCTATAGGATGGTTAATTTTAAAAAATGCTTATAAGGATTCAATAAGACTCTTCTCCCTCAATATTTCATTTCATGACATGATATAAATATTAACTGTTTTGATACAATGTGAGTTGTTGCAATATACATTTCCTGTATGGAATACTGAATTTGGGTATACAAGATCATTACAATGTGGTGGAGCTATTTTACGATGTCTTTACATTTCTATTCAAGATGGGATAAGGATGAGACATTATGGTAGGAAACGCCACCTCTGAGAACACATTATTAGGGGAATGTGGCTGGAGAAAAGTTTATGATATGATTGCCAGAAAATCTAAGAGGACTTCCTGAATTTAGAGATAACTCAGAGCATTGGGGCTTCCATATTTATTTATTTATACCTGCACCCTCACACTGAAAGGGATCCAAAGCATCTTACAACATTGTCCTCTCCTATGTCATTCTTCTCTTCACAACAATGACTCTGGTCGAGTTCAGACTGGCAGTTTGCCCCGATATAGGCGCACGTGAGGAACGTTTCACAAGCAGATTAAAGGGGCCGTTCCCACAGGCACATCTGTCCGGCGTTCCCCACCCGTACTCAACCCATCTTGTAGCGCTTGCCTCCCGGGTTTAAAAGATACCTGGTGAAAGTGGTAGCAAACCCTAGAGAGCCCGTTTATCCCGCTTCATTCCACTTCCCGGAAGTGTGAACGCTAACTGCTAAAAGCCAGGAACACCCCACACTAATAATGTGCGCTGGCTGTTTACGCTAACTGACCTCCTAGCCTCACTCTGGCACCAGGAAGGTGCAGGTGATTGCCTTGAAGAGGGGGTAGTGATGTGCCTGGATGTGCCTATGGCCCACAGCGGCCGGCTCCTGCCCTATTTGCTGCTGCGCCTAGGCGCCCATGCGCATAGGCGTCTGCTGCGAGGAAAACGCCACTTATAGCCATGCCTCCAGGCCAACAGTGTGAACGCTCCCTCGTGCTTCATCCCAGTATGCTCCCGCATCAGTCTGCACAGTGTGCCCGGGAAAACCCAGAACAGTTTGTTCCGGCTCTTTTTTGCAACGACTCCCTCCCGCTTCAAACTCCCAGTCTGAACTCGGCCTCTGTGAAGCAAGTTAGGCTGAGATAAAGTGACTGGCCCATGGTTACCTAGTGAGCTCCCACATATGTAACGACCCTTGAACAGGTGAAGGAATCCCCTAATCATTTCATATTTTCTACTTACATATATTCAGTTTCCCATTAGGCCAGTATAGGAATCAATAATCTTTTCCCACTCTATGGAAATAAAATGGAAGAAGCAAACTTCCAACACAAGCTGGTCACATGTGGGCAGGAGCAGACAATTCAACCTAACCCATACAATATTCCATAGACTAGAATAACCTGTGGCTGCCCATGACTATTTATTTATTTATTTATTTATGCAATGGCAGCTTTGTTAGCGGCCTACACTGTACTACTAGAAGAGCTGGATGTGACCAAATTGAATAAAGAAACAAAACAGAACTAAATTAGTGAAATATCACTTACTCCAAGCAAGCAAAAATACAACCTTAACAAAAGAGGACTACACCTTCCACTAAATTATGTTAAGATCCATGTATCTGAGTTAAGACCTCTCCTTTCTACACCACAAAAATGATCACAGAACAACAAGCAGTTAACAACCCAAGCAAATCAGAATCCCTCCTTCAACCATTAACTGTGAGAAAATTGCCCCCAGGCCTTCAACCACCCATGGACAGTGAATACACTAGCATGGTTAAAGAGTATTACAGGGATATTAAGTACTCTCCTGGATTTGTACCTTTAAACCCCTTTTTATCGGGGGGGGGGGGGAAAATCACATTGTACCCTATTTCCCTCCCACTCCATTAGGGGGGGTCTAAAAAACCCCCAAAACCTCCCCACATCTGGTTGGACATACTACTCCAGTCCTTCTTTAAAACCTTTCCGTTTAGAATAATAACGTTAATCCAACTACCACCCCATCCCCTGATTCTCCATGGGGCTGTTTTTAACCTGTCCACACCCAAATGACAGAGTATAACCTTCCCACCTCTTTTTTCTTTTCTTCCTGAAGGGTAAAACCTCCCCTATATATATAATGAGAGATAAACGGAGAATAAATCCTCCTTTCCTGATCCACCTTTTGGGAAATGGGCGTGAGGAGAAATTGCCTCCTTTTCCAGAGGCTTTAGGGAAAGCCAGGCGTAAAACGCAACCTGTCTCCTTCCAGCGTGCTTTCCCCCTAGATGAGCTTTCCTCCTCCCCACCATGTCATTTCTCCGTGGCGCCCAAACCCGACCAAGCCCCCGCCGTTAGTCGGCCCAAACCTTGTCTCCAAAGCAGCCTCAGAGACGTATCGTACACGAGAGGGGAGGGAGACGGGCGGGCGCCCTCAGTCCGGGAGGCCCAACCGGGGGGGAAAGGGGTGCGGCCGGAGAGGGCTGCACTCCGCCCGGCCTCTCCAGTCACGCGAGTCCCCGGCTCCACGTTCTATGCAGGCCGTAACGGGAAAGTAGCCCCCCCCCTTCCCAACACACACACACACCCTTTCCCGTCCCCAGTCTCTATATTCCACACACGCTAACCTCCCACCTTAACCCTCAGGTAGATGCAACTTTGTGAGGGGGGGGGGAACCGAGTGAAAAAGCCGCCTACTTTTTTTAAACCAAAAAAAAATCATCAAAAGAAAGGGAATTATTAAAACAAGAGGCGTCACAAATCCATTCCCGCCCCGCATTATAAATCGCCCTCTCTAGATTTCCACGATGTCCAAGAAATGATTCTCCATACTTGGGGACCGCGGAAGGGGGGGGGGGAAGGAGAGACTACAATCCACTTGGCACGGTCCATAACCGTGGATGATTCTTTGCCCCCTTTTCCCGATTTTTATTATTTCGTTCCGATTCTCCCGATCAAAGCCAGGGTTTGCACACTCCCCCCCTTGTCTCCCCCTTCCCCAAAGCCGCTTTCTCTTGTGTTTCAATGTGTACATAATTTTGTAGTTCTTTTTTTTTTTTTTAAGGCGCCATGTTTATAATCCTCCATCATATTTAAAAAAGAAAAGAGAGCGAGAGAAAGAGAGGAATCCCACACTGGGCGGGAGACACGGGCGCTTCCCTCGCCCCCAAAGCCGGGGAGGGAGTGGGGGGGAAGACGCAGATAATCTCCATCGGGCTGTAAATTGAAAGTCGTCGCCCCCCCCCCCCCCCCCCGACACCCCCCGCACACTCCTCCTTGCCCAGACTGAAGAAAGTCTCTCTCACCTTGTGCTCTTGGCTGCTGCTCTTTCTGTTGCTTGAAAAGGGAGGGGGGAGGGAAGGAAGGAAGGAAGGAGAGAAGTTGAACCAGCCGAAACTTTTTCAGTCCCTTCCCCAGGCCGCGGCTCCTTCCTCCTCCTACATATTTTGTCCCCCCCCCAATCGGAGTTTTATTGTGTCTGAATTTTCTCTCTCCTCTCTCCTCTCCTGTCTGTCCACACTTCTAGCTTTCTGGGGTAAACAGGGTTTTCCAGCATGAAGACACGAGATCCTTGGGAGAAGGAGAACTCTAGTGGCGTCGGCTGGAGTTGCTATTTGTTTCCCTTTATTATTCCGAGTGGGGATTCAATTAAAGAATGGATCCTTCAACTATTGAAACTGTCTTGTGTATTTTTTTTGGTGTGAGGTGGACTGTTCTCCCTCTCCCACCGGCATCTCTTGCCATTATGAGGTGGCCCACCTGTCTATCGTTCTTATGAAATGTCATATATTTTGTCTACAATACATAAAAATGGGACTGGGTGAAAATCTGATCTAAATGATTTTAAATGGATCCACCTGAATTCATAGGATTTTTTTTTTACAATGACATGACACAACACCGCTATTGTATCACAGCCCATATCCTTGTCCACAGAGGACACCATAAACATTGTGGATACAGCATTTAGCGGTGTCACCCTGGCACACAAGATGCATTAAAAATGGATCCTGGTTGATCCTTATGATTTTAACGACTCTGTTGAAATGCACTGTAAAATATAGCACATCGCATCTACGTCCACAGACTACCACAAAAACTAACAACGGTGCAGTGTTGAGATGTGATCATGGTTTTGTGGAGATCTGTTGTTGGATCCATGTATTTGGGCTGCAGCAAGCACAACAAAAAACCATAACTGTTGTGATTTAACAGTGTATTTGAGGCAATTTCTTGTAAAAATCACAACGATCTGTGCCTTGGATCCATGTGTTTGCACCATGAAGCACTGGATGTGTGATTGTCAAAGTGCAATGGACGTGGAGGTGTTATTTGACTTGATGGGATTTTGGAAGATGGCATATAAAAACCATAAGATCCATATTTTTCCACCACAGTGATACTATGGAGCACTGAATCCATGATTCTTAATATATAATTAATCTGTGATCTGATGGGGGTTCCATGTAAAACATAAACTAGAAAACCCATAAGGATCTGTATAGATATTTTACTTTTCACCATACACAATCTATTTATTACTTACAGTATTTAGTCTGCCTTTCTTACTGAGACTCGAGGTTGATGATGCAGTGTAAGTCAATACAACCAACAGAATAGGATGTCCAATAAGCAATGTCACGAGATTGGGATACCAGAAACCTGAAACAAAACAGAAATCTGAGACAACGCTGAAATATATTTCTGAACCATTCCGTTATGAACTTTGTAAAAAAAAGGCCATTCCAAATAATTCAGTTTTACACAGTTTGCAGAATGCCTTCAGACTGGGAGCCCCGCTGACCTTATCAGGCAGGGCATTCCATAGAATGGGGCCACTACAGAGAACACGTATGTACAGGCAGTTGTTGATCTTGCTGGTTTACAAGGTAGAACCTACAGAAGGCTCTGCTCAGAGATGCAAAGTTGTGGTGGTGGAACATAGCTGGTCCTGCAGGTATGAGAGTCCAAGGCCATGTAAGGCGTTGCATGTGAAAGCCAATACCTTGAATTGCACCCTGGTCCCTGATGGGCAGCCAGTGGAGAAACTGTAGAATGGGAGGTAATATGCACGCTGAGTTGCAGCGGCTCTCTGTACCAACTTGAGTCTCTGAGTTGACTTTGAAAGGGAGACCTATGTAGAGCGCATCATAGTAGTCTAGCCTTGATGTCCTGGATGGAAGGGCTCTGGTTGTCAGGCTTTTTGTGAGGACACCATTGGTTGCACATTTTCAAAAGATGTTTCAGTGCTGAAAATGGCTGGAGGCAACAAAAAGGCAGCACCGCTTTAAACCTGAACAACTGTTTGCATTTGCAGAATGTCTTTATTCTGCATTTTGTTGTTTGTCATCCTTGCAGTGCAGGGTGATAAGGAACTGAAATGCCCAGTAATCATTACTAACCTGCTTTCCTGATCTATATCAGCAAGGGACAGGGCCCTCCAAAGCAAAGAGACACCTTTCTAAGTCCACAGACTGCAGCGGACCTAGTAGGATGCAACTCTGCTTAGGATGGCACTGTTAGAGCCTTAAAGCAGTGTAATTAGACATTCATGACTGTACCCTGAATGCTGTAACCCCCTTGATGTCCTATTAATTTTTTGACCCTTTGACATGGTTAATGGATGGATCATCAACAACTCGCCAGGTTATAAAGGGACAGTTCCACTTCCCAATTAACTCACTTGACAGCTTTATCACATGTGTATTATAAAGCACAAAAGAGTGTGACTGTAACTTAGCTTTTCTTAATTACTTCCAATTGATGATTCAGAAGCCAATAACAACGCATTTGAAACTGCTTTTCTGTTTTTCCCATCTGAATTCAGTCTTAGGGTGTTAGTCAAAGCTAAAGAATAGGCAGGGCATTTTTGTATTCGATGCGAAGAGTCAAAATGGAGCCATTCAACTCTGGGTGGGAGCTTTTTTAGAAATGCCTGTCTGAGAGTATTCATTTATTCAGTATTGTTTCAATTAACTGTTTGGATATATAGATTTAATGTGGCCTATTCAACGCTCGAACCATCTTGTAACGATTCTTCTCTCAAGGTGTATGATAAATGAATGTATGTAGAGGTATTATATGCCTGCAGGTCTGAGGGGAGAAATTATCTCTTATCCTAGAATAATGACCAGCTCACCAGCAGTAATAATAACATATGTCTCTTATTTTCAGATCTGTTGAAACAGAAGTTTCAAAGCTTCATGCGCTTTTTATTTATTTTTTCTTGAAAGCTTTTATATGCCACCTTTCTGGCTCACAACAGGCCTCTCTGAGAATTCGTAATAAAATGAAAAGAAAAATCAGATATAATAATAATTAAAAAATGAAAAGAACAGTAGTGAGTAATGGAGGCCCTTACTTTGTGTCAAGGAATAGGGTTGCCAATCTCCAGGTGGGGCCTGGAGTTCCCTCAGAATTACAACTGATCTCCAGTCGACAGAGATCAGTCCCCCTGGAGGAAATTGGCAGCTACAGAGGGCAGGCAATATGGAATTACATCCCTGCCAAACTCCTCCTCCCCAAACTCCACCCTCCTCAGGCTTCACCCCCAAATCTCCAGGAATCTCCCAAGCTGGAGTTGGCCATCCTATCAGAGTTATCATGTCTATTTGGTGTGGAGAGCGAGTTTGGTGTAGTGGTTAAGTGTGTGGACTCTAATCTGGGAGAACCGGGTTTGATTCCCCACTCCTCCACTTGCACCTGGCTGGATGACCTTGGGCAAGCCATCGTTCTGTCAGAGCTATTCTCTCAAGGACAGTTCTAAAAAGAGCTCTCTCAGCCCCACCTATCTCACAGGGTGTCTGTTGTGGGGAGGGGGAGGGAAAGGAGTTTGTAAGCCGCTCTGGGACTTGGAGGGAAAGGCAGGATGTAAATCCAATCTCCTCCTCCTCCTATTTGAGCAAGGCTCTGTTACCAGTTTCGCCAAAATTCATACTGAGCTAGATTTAGCATAAAGAAGAAACCTTCGTTCCACCACCTACTAGCTTGGGTTTTAAATGCACCTGTACATTACAGTACAGGTGACACCTGGAGATTTCCCACTATTACAATTGATCTCCAGATTATCAAGATCAGTTCCCCAGGGGAAGAAATGGTTGCTTTGGAGAGTAGACTGCCTGGCATTATCACTGCTGAGGTCCCTCCCCAGACCACACCCCCCAAATCTCCAGGTATTCCCCAACCCAGAGCTGGCAACCCAACTGTGCATCCAATCTAGGTAGTAGCCCAGACAAGTGGCAACCAAGGGACTCATTTGACAAAGTGGTGAGGCTCCCCCTAACACAAATTGGGGGGGGGGGAATGGTGACATCGGATATGGTTTTATTCAGGGGAATAATTAACACGCTCGAGTATACAGTAATGATATTCATCAGCTCTATGACGTCTGTGTTATGAAACAAATGATCCAGATGTCCCCCTCTACTATGTGTGGAGGTGAAATTTGTAACCATAGTTTATTACCATTTGTTTCTTACTTACAAATTGGGGTTTGATTTAGGCTATACCAACATGGCTGTTTTGGTCTGCCTTAGCTTATTTATTTTTATTTATTATTTCGATTTCTATCCCACCTTGCCAGACGAACTGGCTCAAGGCGGCTAACAAACATTAAAATACAGTAAACAATAAATACACTAAAAATTTCCATAAGCAGCATAAATCGGAGCATTATTTTTTGGAGCGTCCACACAATGTCGTCCTCCCGTTGTCTGCTTCTTACCCTGCTTTGCTATGATTTTTCCAAAAAGACTGCAGGATGGGATTTTTCAAACCTCCCTTACACATGTTGGTATCGCCTAAATCAAACCCCTATTTGTAAGTAAGAAACAAATGGTAATAAACTATGGTTACAAATTTCACCTCCACACATGGTAGAAGTGGACGGGGGGGGGGTTCTGTGAGGGGGTAACTGAAGAAAGTACATAGGAACAGCCCCCCGCCCCTGAGGCAATGAATTTGCAGGACAGAACTGTGTGTGAAGGCAGGCTTAGAGTCCTGGTTTATAAGAAAGAAATAAACCACAATTTGTTGACACACCCTGATTCAAGTACCACAACAAACTGTGCACAGTTCTAAATCAGGAAGTCTTCAGTCTTGGTTATATGTACATAGGATGGGGCAAAGAAAAGAGAGAAGGGAAATGACCAGGTCTGAGAACAAATCGGGCTCATTCTTACCATAACCAAACCAGAATTTGTTCTGCATATATAGTGGTGGTTGTAATTACAGATGCCTCTTATAGGATGGGAGTTTACAGAGGATCCCTGCTGGCTAGGTGGGAGGAGCTACAGCCAGTAGGACTCAAAGAGCATTCAGGGAAGCTAAGAAAAGATTGTGTGTGTTTGGCAATAAACTATTACATGTACATGACTGAACCCTAACTTATGACAGAATGCAGCAGATGTGAACAATTAGTATTCATTTCCTGACACTGGACTTATAGAAGTGTACCCTCATTTAACGAACACTGGTGCAGTTTTCTTCGTAGACTCTGAAAACTGCTGAGCATAGACGTTATAGTACAG